CGGTGCAACGCAAATGGAGTAATGCCGAGTCTTCAGCCTCCAAAAATTGCAGTACCTCGAATGGCCACTTGAGGCTGGCTCCAAAAGTGAGTCAATCACCACAGATCCCCATGTAAACATGTTTATAGCCTGCTACAAAAAAAAAACAGTTTTGGTCTCTAGCTAATTTTCCCCTTCATGACAGCTATACGGGAGGGGTGCATTTTTATATAACTCAGTGTTTCCCAACTGGTCCAGCCACAGGGTCCAGATTTCTCCGTAGTCATTAGTTTGAGGTCCCATAGTTTCAACCATTCAGCGTCATACTTGCATTTTGCCATGTCGAGTTAGTTTGCTGTCTCTGTCAAGTAGTTGGCAATTAGTCACTCACTCTAACGCAGGAAATGGCACTTCAAAATAAAAGCTCTGTGCTGGAAATTCACTGTACTTTAAAATAAAGTGTGTTTTTTAACAAACTTGACACATTTGCCCATGACCTACTTTTGGACCAAGACCCATCAGTTGGGAACCACCGATATAACCGATCCTTTTACCTTTTCTTAAGGCTTAAAATTATGCATAATTAGGGGTGTGGTTGCTTTGAGTGGCTGTCTGAAGCTTTAGCTAATTCAAGTCACTCAGCCAGCTTTGCTCCTTCCAAGCTCCACTCTCTCAACCAAATATGGTCACTTCTGGCTCCAAAAATCCAAGATGGGGACAGCCAAAATGGTAAACTTGAGGCTTCAAAAGCAGGTCCTGGGAACACTGCTGAGCCTTGCCTCGAAATTGCCCCAGTGGCCACTCATGGTATTGCAGCATAGAAATCCCCTGGGACCCATAAAGCATTTTCTCCATAGACCACCACTGTAAAGGAGACTTTGGCGAAACTGTTGACAAGACACCTTGAACTGCAAACAAGATCAAACATGAGTCTTTCTATTCTACTTTTTTTGATCCATAGGAGATTATAAAAATTTCCTTGAGCCAAGAAATTAATTGTGAAATAAAACTGAACTCAAATGGTGTTGAAATTTAAAGTATATGACACAAAATTTTTGGGAGTGATTATAGATCGTAAACTCAACATATATGTCCTATTGTGCTGAAATTTGGGGAAATGCATATAAAACAAATATAGATCCTATAATTAAACTCCAGAGCCCTCAGAATAATACATAAAGCAGGTTATCAGGAATCTACTAATCAATTGTTTATAGCATCCTACACCTTAAAATTTCCAGAAATTGTGTATTTAAAAACATTGGACACACTCTGCCGATTTGAAAATGTGAAGCTCTCTGTTGAGTTTTTAAAAAGCCTTAAAATGCAAAATGATTGTGGTTTATAATGTAAAAATGATCAAAATGAAAAGAATTGTGGATTTTGATTTAGAGTATAATCTGTTTAATTGTTAATTTATTTCCTTTTTTTGGTATAGTTGGTATTCTAGGTTATCCTTTGGTTAATATAGGATAGGCAAAAATTTCAGTTACTGACTGGGAGAAATTTTGTGTGAAATAATCTTTGTTTTTCCAGATGTAGGGAACCGAAAAAAAAAATACAGTCATTCATTCATTCAGAAGCAAAAAATCTGTGACATCAGTACAATATAAAGTCGATGAGTAGAGTTTGAACCAGCAGGAGAAACATTCAAACACATTAGCTTTTTTGGCGTATGTGCTAGATGAGAAGTTCATATAGGACTGAATAGGGGCCATCTTGGTGTCTGGAGATTAAATGAATACTTTATCCATGTTCAAAATTGGAGTCCACAAACCAATGGGTGAAATCAAGGTGGCAATGTCCATTATTTTTATGCAGCATGGTTACTGCTCACAGCTTCTGATTTAACGGTGGACATACTGCATAATTTTCAGTTTGTATAAAAGCATCAAGTGTGTTTATGTACAAAATCAATATGCCATAAATATCAGTATATGCTGTGTACAATTAGTATGTTGTATAGAATTGGAACACAGTTACTGACTAGTTGATAAATGGGCTGTGTGCAGTTGATTCCTGGGTTTTGTAGTTCATATAATCCTTATGCTATTTGCAGGCTCCAACATTCAAAGGTGCCAAGTGCATCTTTAAGAATGGCTAAATATACAGCATGAAGACAGGCCCACAAGGAGGTGACATTAGCAAGTAAAAGCAATGCAGCACAGGTTATTGATATGTCCCCCCCCCCCTCCCCCACGCACATCCATGTTCACATGTACACCCACTCGCACAAATTCCTACAGTCACAGCGTCTTGCACAAACCTTTCCTGACATTTTGTCCCTCTGCCCTGGAGCAGCCCCGAGGATGCTGCCTCAGATCAAGGTCATCACATCACTCAGTCCCCGAAGCTGCAGCGAGAACACTCATTGAACGTTAAAGGGCCCGAAAACAGCCCTCACATCTACAGATGACGAGTTTCGCTCCAGAACGAGAGTCGACATGAAGTGCACCTGCTGCTTCAAAATGATTGATCGCACAAAAGCTAAAACAAATTACTCTCCGGTCGATCTCGGTGGACAAGACCATTTGCACACATTCTGCCTGCAGTTCTGTAGGCACCGATCAGTGCTGTAAGGTGGTGATTTCTGATTCCAAAATTAACACAGACTATCAGAGATGAATTCCTCAGACCATCTTTGGCAAGTTGGAGAGCACAGACGAGGCCTTTCTCTGACTTGAACCAAATTGAGGATGCACAGAGGGTGTGTGGGGGGTTTCATCGCAAAAGCCACCATCTGGTGTCAGCGCGTAGTGTTGCTCACCATGACCAATTGTGTCATTAGATTATTGAATAATTAGAGGAGGGATCATGTCTACCCCGAGAACATGCCTTTCAAGTGTATTAGTGTGTGTGACTGAGGTCTTGATCACAAAGAGCTGCATTATATCTGCAGAAATATGTTTGGGAGGGGGAAAAAAACTCTGAGCAAAGTTTGAGAAAAACAAACTCAAGCAGCTTTCATTAACTGAGAATGACAATAAAACATGTTGTCAGAGTAGGTGTCAGGCTTTTTTTAACAGATTTTTTTTTTTATTTAATTTGGTAGTAAAATACTTAATATGGGAATCTAATCCCCGCCTCCCTGTGTAGTCATTGCATCTCCCTGCGAGTATCCCTGTTGAGTTGAAGGAGGACTCTAAATGAGTCTTCCGTTGCTCTGGGCAGTGAGGAATCTTTTATTAATGAAGGTTGCACTTTGTCTCAGGTGAAATCGTCTCTAAAACGTCAAGGGACTGCGTTTGAAGCCACCCACTGCTACAACACCAAGCTAAGTGGGTTTTCTCCCACTTTAAATCATACATTTACTGTTTAACTTCAGGAAACTGTGGTTTAGGAACTTTCTTTTTGGCCAGGTGGGACAGCAAAATGAAAATAAGGATATGTATGAAATCCCAGACTATTATAAAGAAATGAGATTAGTGTGGGGAGGCGGCTCTCAGATTTAAGTCAGCCACAAATCTCAGATGGAAGAGAATGATCCCAAAATGAGATATCCACCATTTGAAAAGATTGACACCTACAGTACTCCTACAAAATGGATGTTAGCATGAAAATAAAGCACATTATAGTCTGCTATTGAAGTTACATGTCATCTTGAGACAACTGATGCACTCAAAGCTTGATTTTGCCTCCAAAAAGAAAAATGTTTAACTCAAATATTTTTGAATCAAACAACAATGTCTGTCAAAAAGAATTCTGGAAAGATCTGCAGACAGTAGCGGACTGGGCCTAGGCCAATCTAGACACATCCACAACAGATCACTTATACCATGACTGTTTTGTTGCCATACTTTTTCTGTAGCATGTTTTGGAATACTACACACAGAAATAGCTTCGAAAACAAACAACAACAACAAAAATAGCCAGTAGTTAATAGTTACCAACAGCTCAGTTTCAAGAGTTAGCCAATCGCCCTCCATAACTAAGGCTACGGGGTACAAAATTTGCTCATTGTATGAAAAATAGAAAACGTGTCTATACCTGCTGACACGCCCCCAGGCGCCATTTTGGTTGTACCGCAAATACAAACAACAGAAAGAACACTTTGGTGAAGTTGCTGTAACTTTGGAAAGTTTAAGAACTGTGTACTCAACCCCCAATCTGGAGAAGACTAAGAACATACCGTACAGAGATAAACCAGGGATCTGTATTTGGCTAAATTTTCGACAATCAATAACCTAGATCCGTAAACCAACTTTACTAGGGTTAGTAGGCCATGATCACCCTTACATCCCTTATTTATTTTGTACAAATTACAGAGAGGGGAGAAAGACAAAGAGGCAAAATGTCACCTAGCTCAGTGGTTCCCAGCTGGTGCAGCCACAAGGTCCAGATTTCTCCTTAGTCATTAGTTTGAGATCCCACAGTTGTGTTTGGCGTGTCATGCTAGTTTACTGTCTCTGTCAAGTAGCTGTCTGTTAGTCACTCACTCTACAGCAGAAAACTGCGCTTCAAAATAAAAGCTCTGTGCCGGAAATTTACTGTACTTAAACATTAAGTGTTTTTTTGTTGTTATTTTTTTTTTAACAAACTTGACACGTTTGGAAGTCACTTGCGGTCCATTCAGAATGGACCACGACCCACCAGTTAGGGAACCACTGACCTAGCTCAAGGTGGGTGTAAAAATCAATACTATGCCAGTTTGTGTTTAACAGTATTAAATCTGGGTTTTAAAAGCTATGTCAACTCTTTCACATTGCAGTATGCAACTCTAATAAGTTCTCACTGAAATCACTATTTAAAAAAAATGTATTTATTGAGCCCAAGTAGAGCTGTGATGGCTACATTATTTTGCTAAAAGCAATAATTGGGTTGAATCACTCTTGTCTTCTGTAATGATCAAATTGAAATGCGTTTATTATTATTTTCTAAAATGCACCTAACTGTTATGGGCTCTTTGCCTTATAACAGAAGTCTGCTCTATATTTTATTGGGTCCCCAAACCGGAAGCGTAGAATAATAGCGCAGTTCATTTCCTGAACAAACATGGCGGACGCGGAAGGCGCGTGAAGCAGGTCTACGGTTCTACCCGGACTTGAAATTCATGACATGGCGGTTTTTTCGTCTCAATAAGGAAAAACACACAAGTTGATAACACGTTTGCAGCGTTTCCACTTTGTGAAACTGCGCTGAAACTGTGGGGGCATTATTAATTCATCAAAACACCTGTTGATGGGCATTATTTCCACCCGTGAAACAATGCTAACGGCACAGCTAGCGTTAGCTTTCGTTAGCTAGCTGTACCTGAAGAGTTGTTGCTAACACGTTTGACCTGGAACTCGGAGATAGAACCCTCACAACTTCTGTTGAAATACATATCAAGTGTTACATGGATTTACACCATTACAAATGTTGGAACCAACAAACTGAGCTGCGACTTCTTCGAGTCAAGTCAGCTCTGAAAATGTGAGGATTTGAAGAGGCGGTGCCGCTAATGGCGGAGCTAACGGTCTCTGAACGGAAGAGCTGCTGGACATAGAGGTACCTGAACACGTCACCTAATTAAAGAGTAGATATGAAATGTGTCTTCATGTGTGTTTAATAGACAAGCTATGTTGTATGTATATACACGCACTCGCTAAGTTAACGTTCATTTAATATAAAAACTTGTTCTTGTGAAACCAATTACAGATGTATGCATGTATATACATGCCTTTATATTGATATAGATGTTGGTCTAACTTTATGATCGTATTGGAGGCTGTAACTGCTGAGTGCTGATAAACTGTGTTTTAAATTTAGCATAATTGTGAGAAATGGGGTGCCCAAAATATTAGAAACACCTTCTAGTATAATGCAATACTACTCTGCTATTGTCACCACTACTTGTACCATTACCAGTGCTACAAAAACAGTTGAGCAACTTTTATTTTTTTTAAGTGGTACTGCTGTTACTAGTATTACTAAAAGGCTGTTGCTGATGTTACATCAGTTAAGTCAGATGAGACTCAAATGTGAGGCAAGAACTATTCCTGGAAATATCATTTTATTTAATATTTATGTTATTTATAAGTTTTTGTGTAACTTGGTTACTCAATAAAAAATGTATTCACTCTTTCAATTGTTTAAAAATAGTTTGACTACACAGTTATATCAACTGCAATACCACAGTTTAGAAATACTCTATTACAAGTCATCTTGTATTATGATGATAATAATAATGATAATAATAATAATACATTTTATTTAAAAAGCGCTGAAGCAGGTAAGTAAAGTTGGCAACTAATTGCCCTTTAGATTGCACTGAGGTACAGTACCAGTCAAAAGTTTGGACACACATTCTCATTCAAGTAAATGGGAAAGTGTGTCCAAACTTTTGACTGATACGGTATATCAGATATTCCTTAGGTAGGTAAAAGTATTTGCATTAAAATACTTAAAGTAAAAGTACATATTATACAGAATGGCCTATTTCAGAATACTTATGTTACGGTACATAATTTCAATGTGATCATTGATGCTGTAAGGTGCACACCCCTTTAATGTTGCAGCTGGTAAAGGTGGAGCTAATTATTATTACTTTGTGTACTTATGATTGTTAAATATTCCCTGCTGGAATGGATAAATTCTTATCTTAACATCTAGTAATAAATCCTAGTTTATTTGTTAACTATGTTTTATGTTTATCTGACTCTGCAAAGTAACTAAAGTTATTAAATAAATGTAAATAGTAAAATATTTGCCTCCTGATGTAGTGGAGCACATGTATAAAGTAGCAGAAAATTGATATACTAAAGTACTTTAAAATTGTGCTTAAGTGCAGTGTTTCAGTCAGTATACTTAGTTGCTTTCCACCACGGTTGGTATGTGGCAACTCATGTCTTAGTATTAAGTACAATTGATTATATTATTAAAATTGTACAAAGGCAAACATCATGCTTATTTTATGGTTGTGACATTTGAGCTAAGAGTTGAATAGTGACCTAAAAACAATGATTCCCACAATGCATTGTGAGCTATGTTGATTTTAAGTTCACACATCACAAACACAGGTTAGACTGATAGCGTAGGTGTGATGGCTCATTAAACTGCTTTAAAACTTTTTCACAATAAGTGCTCCTCGCATTCTTTGCTCGCATTTGACAGTTTGTGGTTTATGTTGTGATCATTGATGTTTTGTTGCACCTGCAAATCAGGAAAAAATGCAGACGGTGCAGTGACCTTTAATTTATTTGTGATGTGGTTTTGGCAAAAGCAGCATACGTGACCCTGTTTACACTCTGAAGATTTCAGCACCCTGCTACCCATTGGACAGGAAGTCTCACACTTGATCTTCTGTCTTGTTCCTTTTGCGCACCAGTATGTGTTAAGTCCTGCTTGTTACCACGTGTGTTTGAAAAGTACAACAGTATTTAGTGCACATTTCTCCTCTAAGATAAAAATAAAACAAAAACAACACTCAGGTCTTAGTTTGTATTGTAGGGTGTCATTCATGTCCTGAAGCCCTGTATAGTGACATTCTGGTCATGTGCTCGGCTTTTTTCATCCCACCAGTTTATTTAAAATAGTGAATTAAAGTGGCAGGTCCAATGTCTGTTATCTTGTCATCCGTGCCGCCCTGAGATGCATTTGACAGGCTCTCTGACTCCTAGTCACACGGGTTTTATGGCATTTCAAGCCTCTCGTTGAAATGATTTATGTGGTTGGCACAGATGTTGCTCAGATCCTGATTTTTCATTCAATTACTGAATCTATCTTGCTGTTTTAATTATGGCTATGAAAAGTCCCATATCCCTCCTCTTCAGCTGCACTCCTCAGCCCATATTAAGGCCCTGAGATAATGTGGCCATCCATGCTGCTGTCAGGTACTCCTTCCTCATTCAGTTTCTTCTTTCTGTTTGTTGTTGCGTAGGCAGGTTCTAGTAGTTGGGAGGCTGTGCTGCAGTCGCTCAACAAAACCGCTTACAAGTTTATGAGTTAGACATGCAATGACAGGGAGGACCAGAATGTGATATAGTAGTGCGGGGTGTTAATACATTCGGCTGTTTTGAATGTATATGAGGTAATGTTGTCCTAGTGTGTCAGCCATTTTTGGGAAGTTGTAAGTGTCACATGAATTCAATTATGACTTCATTTTTTGAGATGGATCACTGCCATAGAACCTAAGTAATGTGCTGTGGACAGGGCGGCAGCAAAACATATTTTAGCCACTTAAAAAAAGGCCTACTTAAAAAAATCTATCAGTTTAAGTGGACGTTATAGTGAGAATATTTTCACTGATTTACTTCGCCGTCAGACAGCCTTTTGCTTTGGCACCCAACTGTAGAACTTCTGTATTACTCGGCATAGGTGCAACTGTGCCACGTGCTGTAGTACACCACAGGTGAGCTCTTCGGGTGAGCCTTTAAGTGGTTTGTGAAGAGACAACAAATACAAGAAGAGAAGAGAATCATTTGCAGATGGAGACTGAAAGGGATGAAAGAGAGAGAAGGGAAACTTACGTGAAAACTGGAGGCCAAAAAAGGGCAACAGACTAACTGTGGTGTAATATAGTATGCCACAAAGCAGGGCTTATTTGTAGGAATATGAAAGTTCAATGACTGAGAAGATATAGTGCCAAAAGAAAAGGGCAGTCTGACGTCAAGGTGCTGATACTGATTTTCGTAGGTGGTTAAATACATTTTGCTGCTGCCCCCTGTTCACAGCAGTACATTGCTGAACCTCCATGGTGGTGCTCCTGTCTGCTTCTCCAAACTGGGAGCATGCTGACTGCAGTCTAGTGCGTTAGCTTTAGCTAGGTGTACCTAATAAACTGCCATGTGTGTTGAGAGTGTATATTGTACAGTACATTGACACTTGAAATAATTGAAATATAGTGCTTCTTGAGAAAGTAGATGTCAAATTGGATCTTATTTCCAAAAATCATTAAAGTTTCCTCATATGAGCTTCGCTTTGTATTTCATAATGATGCGTTTCACACACAACCATTTAACTCCACCTATAAGCTTTAGGTACATTAAACATGTGGACAAAGATAATTATGTGACCATCCAGGTATTTGAATCCAGTTTGTACTGTAGAAGTTTTAGGATTTTTGTTGAGTGGAAAGTTACTGTGTTTCTGTGAGCTTTACAAAGTGCATAAATGTTTCCTCCTGTCACTCATTTTGTTTCAATTAAGGGTGTCACTTTCTTCAAACACAGGCTAACTTGTTTAGAGGCACATCTCATCCGTTAGCTTTCCAAAGTTTGTAACCCTGCACCCAGCTCATCATTCTCACTTTGGCTTCTTTGAAATGATATTCAAACATCCACAGAACATTACTCTTGACAGTCAAATGCCAGCTTGTGTGGCATAACAAGATGACTTCTCTTAAGTTGATAAGATGGATAACAAGATGCACATCCTCAGTTCTCGGAAGTGCACACCAGCAGCCAGAGTGGTGTTGCACTCATCTGAAGCTCTCCTCTCAGTCCTTGGAGTATCAGCTTGGCGACACACTCTACCTGCTTTTTTTTTTCTCTGAGGTTTTGTTTTTCCTACTTAAGTGGCTGAGCTCTTCTCCACGGTTCCAGCAGACCTCATGCATTTTTATTGCCATCTGGAGAATACCAACAGGTCTTAACAAGGGGGCTCTTGTTGTAAAAACTGCTCACCGTGGAGACGGACTCAGAGTCAACTCGACTCATTTGACTGGCTGTGACCTAGTGTGTGTTTGCATGTCACTGTGTCTGTTCATGTGCATGAACGTGCATGTGCACTTGTACTTTATGTTTTAAGGGAATAAACAGAAAGTATGGAGAGAGAGCTTGCTGATATATGCATCAATACATTTTGTTTGTGTTTGAATAACGAGCAAGCACAAATAATTCTTGTCTCGTGCCTCCTCCTTCCCCTCCCTTTCCCAGGAGCACCAGAGTTTGATGGGCCGTCCCAGACGCCGGTTGACATTTTGTCCCCAGTCCGACCGGATGCCACATAAAAAATTCACTCAGGCGAGAAGCCAGGAGGAATACCCAGCTCCCCCCACCCTCAGCGTGTGCCTCTCAGTGGGGAGTGCAAGGTGAGCAGAACTTGAGCTTGTCATGGCTGCATGCCTCTGACAAACATAAGTAGATGCTAATGGCAAAATCGTGACAGAGCAGAGTCCCACCACCATATGGCTAATTGCCACAACAATATCCTCTGTGTTATTAATCACGTTTTCATAGTGTGCCATGATAATTGGAATAATTAGGAGGGGAACAGGCACTGGGATGCCTCTGCAACATCCGTTGCTTGGTGAAAAAATACAAACCCTGCAAAAAATATGTCACTTTCCCTTCCTTGTCCCCCATGTTTGGTCCTCCCTTCTGCCCAACAGCATTCTCATTCACCTTCTTCCCCTTTTCTTTTTCCTCACGCTTCATCTTTTCTTCCTCTTTTCTTACTCCCTCGCTCCCTCAGCCTTCTTTACCTCGCTAATCGCTCTCCAGCTCCCCATTTCCCCATCTTGTTTACAGTTTTGTGGTGAAAAATGAAGTTGATAATTAATGAATACAGTGACGTGGGGACCTTGGCTGTGAGTAGTTCTGGGGCGTGGTGGGGGCAGGTAGCTGATTGAGGCCACATGCCCCACTGAGTCTGAACAATGAGTGTTTGGGGTTAACCCTTTGTGGGCCAGGCTGTTGCTTTCTCAGCAGTTTTCGAACAGTAGTGGTGGTTGTCACTTTGTGAACCAGTTTGCTGTGTTGTCCTTAAAATGTAGCAGTGGAGTGGTAGTTTGGCTTTGTGGAAGAACGGAGGTCAGAGTCCGTGTTGGGGATAAAATTAGTGTGAGATATGTTACTTAATCAGCTGGACCTGTTTAAAAAATGTATTTATTTTAACAGGGATTTCATGAGTTGCTTGAAGTGCTTGAATTTTGAGGAGAAAATCTCAGATACTGGAATACCTTAAAAAATATACCCTCTTTGACAAAGTGCTTCAAAAGTCCTTGAAATTCGAATGAACCACATGAGCTGTCTTTTATTATGAGCAAAGTTTTAATCATCAAGTCAGTGTCATTAAATTGCTCAGACTCAGAAATCAGAAATCTTAAATTCTGACACATTACTGTCTTGTGACTGCTGTGCGCTCTCTCTTTTGTCTTCCTCGCCTTGATGATGTTCCTCCCAACATGTTAGTTTATTGATACTTCGTGCCACTCTTACTCAGGTGTTGACCAAGTGTTTTATTATGATGTTTATTATTTAATAAAAGCAGAGATCTGAGTACTATATTTCACTCTTTTTATGTATTTGCATGGCTGGAATGACAATAGAGAATCCTTGATCCTTGAAAGTCCTGGCAAAACTACTAGGCCGATGCTGACCTGACTAAATTTAACACGACTTAAATTAACAAGTCGTCTTTTCACAGTGACTTGTTTTCCTCTTTCTTCAGCAGTGCGCTGATGTAATAGCTCCACCAAAAACTGAAGGTGAAACTTAAGATCCAGCTGGCATTGTTTTTCTCACACCACTTTCAGATAGTTCTGTTTTAAAAGTATATTATACAGAGTTGTTGGTTACTGTTTGTAGACACACTTGCCAGCGAAAGTGAAAGTAAAAGCCAATCTCTGATTCTCTGTTGTTTGGCGTTTTGCCTCACTGTATTCATGTTTTTTTGGTGCTGTGTCTCTTGGATGCCTGCTACTTGCGGTCTGGCACTTGGTTTCTGCCTTTTTACAAAGCCTCGATCTCACCTGAGTGCTGTGGGGGTGCATGCCCGTAAACGTCCTGAGCACAGAAAATATGAAGAAAATAGGAAAATACAGGCAGATGGCAGAATCTCTGCTGATAAATACACTGCCACTTTTCTTTGATGCATGTACTCCTTTTTGTAAGGAGCTGATGATACTGTCGAATAAAAGGGAAACATGATGCCTGCCTCTCGTCTTGTGCCGTGTTTAGTCAGTCAGTAGGTGTGGGGCAGGCAGGAGGACCTGGGACACAGCTTGCTGCAGTTTCTATGATTACATTGACGCTCTCACTCTGAAACTTTCTTTGGATTGAAAGTTTTCAAAGCCCAACATAGTGGTGCATTATAGTAGCATTAGTCTCTATATACAGACCCTACATTCAGTGAATGTAGAGTCTGTAGGCAAACCCCGGAGATCTTGCCTCCGGAAGAAGAGCGGAAGAGCCTTGGTTTCCAGTTGTAGGCTGTTTGTAGTCTGCGTGATATTGATCAGTCACGTTTGAGCCGGCTGCAGTTGTTGCCAGGTTAAACTTTTCGTGCTGTGAATTAACGAGGTGGAACATAATTGGTGTCACTGCAAACTCTGAATCCATCGCAATGGTTCAGCATATTTACTTATATATAAATGGAAGTCGGAAACGGAAATTCACCTCCTCCGACCAAATCAAACGGGAATGCCAAAAAATCTGGGTCTGCCCCCAGAGGCTGTATCACCGTCTGCCGGAAGTCAGACGCCGAATACAGCCAATGGGTTCCGAGAATGTAGTAGACACTGAGACAGCGCCTGGATGTAGGCGACAGATGTTTTAAAAAATGCAGCAATAACACAGATGTTTCGTATACAAGATGTATATAACGCGGACAAAGTGTCTCTGTCTCCTTCCCTCCCTCGCCATCTCTGTTGATGCTATGTGCAGAAATAAGATTAATTGCCTAAAAAAATAAAACCACTTAAATCATTTTCCATCACTTGAAAGGCATTTTTATCTCCCCCCACAAAGATTTTTAATTGTTCCAAACTACAATGTATTTAGACCTACTTGATACTTTTATAGTCATGTTATAGTTTTGTGTCCTGTGCTGCAAACCTTTAAACCTCTAAACCTCTGTAGCTCCAGTGCTCTGTGCAAAAACGTTACCGTACAGCCCTCCTGTTTATTTTATATAATTCTTACATGTTGTGCAGCTGTTTATTTTCAAACAGGTAAAAAAATCCCTGTCTTTGCATTTTATTTTGATCACAGTCTGTTTTTATAAAAGTGCTTGTGACATCTCAAATGTGGCTTTGACTTGTGACTAAAAACATGTTGCCTGTTTTGTTGAAAATACCTAGATATATATCGTGTATTGCTAGTCAGCCTGTAAATACTGAGATATGAATTTTTGTCCATATCGCCCTACGAACAGTCATGCCTAAAAAGAGTTTGATAAATGAACCTTTACTGCAAAGAGACACACTGATCACATCATTTAAGTTAAAAAAGAAATCATAAATAAAAATACATTTTGCCATGAGTGAATTCCTTAAAACATGAAAAAGCAGTGCTTGAAACAGTACTTAAAAGTCCTTGAATTGCAATTCTAATTGTCTGTATGAACCCTGTTTTAAAAACTGTATAAAATCAGGCTGGTTTTGTAGTTAGCAGTATCAGACCTATCAGTACTCCTCAAGCTCTTCTTTACAGTGACCTGTGGGCTGAGATTTACTATTCAGCAATCCGCTCTGCAGTTTGGCCCATAAATCTTGCTGTTTATCCAGGAACAACCTTAACGTCTCAGCGATTGCCCAGGCATTTTGAAAACCCAACCTTATTGATTCTGACAGCGAGTCAATCAATAGGACATCTGTAGCATTAGAGGGCTATTTCGGTTGTCTGGGCTCCCTCTGCCAAAACAGTCCAAGAGAGTGATCCAACTTTTTCTGGGCAAGTCCTAATGAAGATGTCTTTCCTTGACCTCCATCTGAAAAATAATGAGCAAACAGCGGAGATACAGGGATGGAGATCATCAGTGGGAGTATGAAGGAGTGATCATAAATAGGCAAAGGGAGTAAATAAGGTTTAAATGGTCATGGCAGTGACCTATGACAAGGATGAGCTCCTGTTTCTATCACCATTCTCTGTTTTATGGAAAAGCACTGTCACGGTACTCAAGGCTGCATTGCCATGACTATTTTTAATTAGTTTCTTTTAACATGTTGATAAATGAAATAATGCAAATGAATCAATCTGTTCATCGATTAAACTGGGATGAGAAAGTAGAAATCAAGAGCGATATTAAATAAGTGATAGACAGTTTATTGACTGGGCAGCCACAATAGCCACTTTCAAAATCAGAGTTATTTTTCATCCATAAATTTATTTCAGTATTTTTTTGCACATGGATTTATTTATTTTTTAATAAGTCAAGCTGTCAAGTCGGGCTGTACTTTACTTATAACTACAGTTTGGAATAGCATAGTATCGCAATGTTTTGTGTGGTGATATTGTATGGATACAGGGACGCCAAGTATGGCCTTTTTTAATCATTTAAATTATCAGTATTGCAAATACAAATTAAACTTTTCATAGCCAACTAATATAATACGATCAACTGCTTTTTCAGTCCACTACATACACTGATCAGCCAAAACATTAAAACCACTGACAGGTGAAGTGAATAACATTGATCATCTTGTTACAATGCAATGTTCTGTTGGAAAACCTTGGGCTCTGACATTCATGTGGATACCACCTGACATGCTCCACCCACTTAAACACCAGCACAGACCAGGTACACCCTCTGATGGCAGCGACACTCCCCAGTAGCTGTAGCCCCCCAGCAGGATAGTGCGTCATGCCACACCACAAAAACTGCTCAGGAGTGGCCTGAGGAACATGACAAAGAGCTCAAGGCATCAACTGGGCCTCCAAATTCCACAAATCCCAATCTGATTAAACATCTGTGGGACGTGCTGTTACCCCACCTCGCATCATACAGGAATGAAAAGATGTTAAGCCAGCGCCCTGGTGCCAGACACTATAGGGCACCCCCTAGAGGTCCTGTGTTCATGCCTGCACAGGTCAGTCACCAAATCAGATGTGGGATCTGGGGTATTTGGAGGCCAGGTCAACACCTTGAGCTCTTTGTCCCATTCCTGAGGTCATTCCTGAGCAGTTTCTGTGATGTGGCATGGTGCATTGTCCTGCTGGGGGGGCCACTGCCATTGACAAGTGCTGCTGCCATGAGAGGGTTTACTTGGTCTGCAACAGTGTTCGGGTGGGTGGAGCACGTCAAGTAGTATCCACATGAATACCAGGACCCAAGATTTCCCAGCAGAACATTGCATTGTAACAAGATGAT